GTACTCCGCCATGGTTCTACAAAGCGGGATGACAATCTCTGTCCTGGAGGCTATAGCTCGAGCACCAAGAACTCTGCGGAAGCCTTCATAAGCATCGCAGAGGAGTCGTGCTTAAGACGGTGTAAGATGAATGTAGGTTGGTCGTAGCTGTGCCCATCTCATACGCCCACTAAAAACCCCAAACCAACCTACACCGAAGAGATCTGCATGGGACTCTCTGATTCACAACTGTGCTTCCACGTCTTCTCGAGCAGGTCAGGCCGAGTAACTGCGTGAGCCGTGCCATAGAACACCACACCTGTCAAGTGGTCGTGAAGAAGGGCGTTAACAATCGCTGGGGGATATTGTAGTATACACAAAAATAACCATGTCAGCACTAGAACGGCAGACAAGCACTAACTATTCCGACCCATATGATATTGCAAAAGTTGCGAACTCAGGCATTCGATGTTGGCTGTCCAGGGCTGTTGAACGTGCAGTTGGGCCTACAAGTTCTTACATCACCATGCTGGCCTATGTGTTGCCATCATCGAAGAAAAGAGCCTCCAATGTGCACAAGCCTTTTGCCCAAGTTCGTGCAAGAACAACCCTGCTGCTAGCTGTCACAAGAAGAAGCTTGTGTAGACGTGTGGGGCTTTGCATGCTTGGGCTGTGAAGGGTTGCTTTGGTCTGCTTTCAAAGCACCCTTTTCATGTTGATGTCCTCGTCATCTGCAAGTATCCTGGCTTACACGCAAGAGTCGCAACACCTGTATCCAAAAGTTACCCTTTGCTACTGGGGGTGCAGGGCCCTATCTGCTTTGAGGTACCTGGAAGCATAGGGTAGGATAGATGGGAAGAAAGATTGATAGCCAAGCAAGCGGTTTCTGCGTACATCCATTCAGAGATGCACAGCTTTTACTTATCTGTTTGTGTATCGTTACACCTACGCACCTACACTGACCTGGCTACACTGACCTGTACTGACTTACACACACGATGTTAATCCCTTTGACAGCTCGAGACCTCATTTCCTAATCCTAAACACTCAAGAAAAATCCTGGAGATGTGAGCCCTCGCCTGAATCAGCGACACAGGCACGGACCAAAACAAGAGGCCTCGGCAAAGCAAGGCAGCTCGTTTGAGGGACCCATTACAGGGGCATCCGGGCACTCCGCAATGTTTGTATGTGTGTGCCTGTGTCCCATTGATGGCCATTGCATTCTCAGTGCTTCAGCCTCACTTATCAAGACACCTTCGAAACTCTGAAGCCCTGAACCTTACCTAAACCCGGATCCTCAAACCTCAAACCCTAAAATAGGATTACGGTACATATTCTCTTCCTCACTTGAAGGATCTTGGAAAGTCTGGGTTTTAAAGGTCATTTCTCACAGGCCCTACCCTAAACCCAAAATCCAAAATCCTAAACCCTAAATCCTAAATCCTAAACTCTTATAAACCCTACATCCTAAACCCTAAACCCCAAATCCTAGACCCCAAATCCTAAACCCTAAACCCAAAATCCTAAATCCGAAACTCTAAACCCTGCTTTAAGGTTCATGTTCAGAGGCCAAGGGCCGAAAAGCAACGCCAACTCCACGAAAAAGGTCCTCACGAGGAGCTGCGCCTGGCGACGGGCAGAACCCTAAGGGGTTTGGGGTTTAGGGTTCAGGATTTTATGAGGGCCCCCCGGACTCAACAATGAAGGTACTTTGGATTGAGGCGGTGAAGGATAGCAGTTGTGGCACTTTGGGTTTCAGATAGTAGTTATGGCACTTTGGGTTTAGGATCGTAGTTATGGTACTTGGGTTTAGGATAGTAGTTATGGCACTTTGGGTTTAGGATAGTAGTTATGGCACTTTGGGTTTAGGATAGTAGTTTTTGTATTTGGGTTTAGGATAGTAGTTATGTAGGTTAATTTTTGTGAGAGCAAATGATTATCAGGTAATGTTAAAACCTCTGTAATTGAAAAAGGC